ATATATATACATATATCTGTCCAAAAAATGTCAACACTAAAGATTAGATTTTATTTCTAGATAAATGTCATTTTCTACACGCTTTTCGATATTTTTTTCATCTTATTTGATTTAAACTGTAAAAATATGCTTATTTTATTTTAAATGCAAAGAATGTAAAGAAACATTCATCATCTGTCATTTTGATGCAGTAACTTTTTTTCGTGTCGCTCTGAAAATCCGTGACGAAATGAAGATGAATATATCGAGCCATGCCAGCTGAGGAACGAATGTCGATGCGCTGACAAAGCCCTTTCTCGCTATTCATGCGACTTAAGCGACTTAAAAGTACGCGGAGCTTCTTTATACACGTATGCTCTCGCATACACGCAAGTTCCAGTGTTGAACCGATATAATTCAATATAATGTAGAGACCAGCGACATTATCTGGTCCGGTGCAGTCAGCTCGGACTCGGAGGTCCGATTAATCTCGACTCGATCTCAACAAAGCGCGGATTTATGGTCTCTTTGCAGAGCCAAGCCTCATTTCAAAACCTGTTTTTTGGCAAGCTCGTTTCTTTTCCGCGGTAAGTTTTCTTTTTTTCATTTTTTTTCCTCGTCAAACCTCTCTCTTACCCTCGCCCTCTAAGATGCTATTATGCTTTTTCTGTCGATTCCTGTCGACCGAAACTCGTGCCACTGCGTACAGATTCCAGGCGAAATCTTTCATCTTTTGATCTTCCACCACGTTTTAATCTTTGCGTTTGCATTTTTGATAGTTTCCGAGAAACTATCTCGTTAACGTTCTTCATTATCCCTTCAAGTATTGCCAAGATTCTCGATACTTATGCCGGGAATACGTAAATCGGATATTCCAACTACTTCTCCTCAAAAGTTTACTCCGAAACAATTTTATTAATCAAACGCTGTGCTTATCTTCTTCCTCTTTTGTCAAACATTTCGATGATTAACCTAATTTACATTGGAGCACGATTATATGTCGGAATTCTGTGAATAAAACGCAGGTGATTTTTAACGTAACGAAACGCCGAATTAGGAAGAAATCGATAATGAACCATGAAATCGAGCCGATGAATCCAGGACGTTGCCGCGTATCGTTACGCGCGTTCCGCGTTCCGGCGTCCGTGTTCAATTGGTAATTACACCGAGGAGACCAATGACACCGTCGGCACATCCACCTACGTTGAGATGCACCGATATTTTCGAGAAGACGATCAGCGGCGGCGAGCGAACCACTCTTATTCGTCCGCGTCTTTGTGGCGAACCCGCAATCCCCTTCCTCGTTCTACATATGCAGATCCCAATTGCTCGTAGAATCGATTATCCGCGGCCCGATCGTGACCGTGCACGTTTCACGCGATGCACGCGCTCGCTGCAACCCGGACAAATGGGCGACTGCCGGCTGCCGACCTGTAGCCTCGTCTCGATGTGCGCGCGAGCGATTTCAGACTGCTCATTCCGACCGTTTCTTTCCGCCGCGCGTGCTTACGACGTTCCTATCATTAAAATGTATCAACGGCGAACGTTTAGCCGGACGAAACAAGATCTTATTCCTGAGCAAATTACAAGTGAAACCTACGCGGTCCGCTTTATTTTAACAAAATCTTAATTTAAGTCTTATTCTTATCGAAATATTTCGAATTAAAAATTGAAAGATGCTCGGCATTAATATTTGACTTGCATGTTAAACAACCTTTCTCCAAGGACATTGAAAGACCGGTTTCTCGGCTATCTCGATGACGACATTTCAGCAATAATTATGTAGTGTCTTCAGTGTCCATTTTCAAACGCTCATCTTATTAATGTCCCCGAATTCCGATCGAAACGCTCACCTTGCTGCTCACGATCATATAATCGTTTCAGAAGCAAGGCTAAAGATATGCACAATGTTAAACATGTCGTTCTACTTACTTGTAAGATCCGTGAGTATTTTTGCAGGTACCATGTCGGCACGGATTCCTGTCGCACTCGTTGATGTCGTCCGTGCAATTCGGTCCCGTGAAGCCAGGTGCACATGTGCATTTATAACTGTCCTCGAGCGAGCGACACTCAGCTCCGTTTCGACAAGGCGAAGAGGCACAGTAATCCTGTCGCTCGCAATGTTCGCCTGCAAAATGAAAAAAGACGATATTATTCAGCGCCTTATATCGATGCGTAATCTTGTTACGGATGATAGAAGGAGAGAATTAAGAGAATTTGCAAACGTTAATAACATTGAAAACTAGAATCTTGATTCAATTTCAAATTACGAGTATAAATTTTTTCATTGTATCCTTTATTTGTTTCTAAATAACATAAACTTGATTTGATTTTAAACATATTTTATTTTGCCTTGAAATTTTCAATCTTAGGTCCGTCAAAAATATTTTACAAATAATCCAAATTTTTTTAGATACTTTAATTTTTTATTTTTTATTTATTTCCACACATTATAAATTTTATAAACTTGAAAAACTTGACTGTTGAGAATTTGTATACATAGAATGACAGGAATACTAATTACCGTTTGATCATAACGATACAAAAAATCATATTGATTAAAAATGTATATTTATAATATTATTAGGCAAAGTATTAAAACTGAATGTTGAAAAGTTTGGCTTTTAAATTGATTTCAAGTAGATAAACTTAGCAAATTATAAAATCATAATTATATTCTTAAAACCTACCACGACATTTTACAATATTTATAGGTGCAAGTATACAACAATATACAGTCCTTTAATTTTCTAGAGATGGTTGAGGGCTTGAGAACGCAGACATTTTCTGCAAGAGATTGGGTGCTTAATCGCTACCACATCGCATGAATTTGAAACTTTTAAACATCTCTTGAAACTTATAAGACTTGAACGTTATGGCAAAAATATTAGAGTGAAATTTCATAGATAAAGATTCCAGCAAAGATAAGAATAAATTAGTTCAGCATTTCTTACCGACTAGCATTTGCTTTGCAAGTAAAGATATCTTTTAAAATGGAGGACGATCGAACATGTATCTAAGGCAAACGTTTCTCTTTTCTTTCTTCTCGTGGACTACTGATTATCGGTGAAACTAATTATCGGAGTCGCTACTTGTTCTCTTGTAGCCAAGATGTCTTCTGCAATTTGCGCTGTGCACCCGCAACCTTAGTGGTACTCAACGCTCGTGTCCCGAGTATATTTCACGAAATCTATCACAATTTTTAATTCGTTTATTGAAATAAATCACGTACTTTATACATCAAATTCACAAATTTTTGAAATAAATTTTACAGAGGTGTGTGTGTGTGTGTGTGTGTGTGTGTGTGTGTGTGTGTGTGTGTGTGTGTGTGTGTGTGAATAACTTATTTTCGTATTCTAGACTTTTGGCAAAAAAAACCTAAAAAACAAGATTTAATCCAGCATCACAAAAATAATTAATATTGATGTACAAAGCAAATTACCATAATTTCAAAATTAGCATACAGCTCTTCTTACAAGTTAAAGCAGGAAACTGAGCACCACTCGTCCAAAGGTACCGCCACAGCGAAATGCCGCATGGTTCTCCGCCAATTATCCTACAAGCGCACACTTCAGCCTACCTTTCCTTCTTCCTTCTTCCTCCTTCTTTCTTCTTATTTCTCTCCTTGCTTTTCTTTCAAAAGACCTCTTCTGTTTCTAGATTTATTCCTTAACTATACTAGCACGTGCTGTGGTATTTTAGAGTCCAAGAAACAGTCGTAAAAGGTATAACCGTACCTTAGCTTCCGCAATCCGCGCAAATTTGATATTGAAATTAAATCGATATGGCTACATTTAATACATATTAATGTTGACAAAAATTAATATCTTAAATCACGAATCATGATTATCTAATATCTCACACACACAGAGTATTTTTTGATAGCTCGAGAATGCAAATTTACAGTTATAGCTTAGTCTCGTACGTTTCTTTATGACGCACGGTTATATTACAATGCGAACTGGTTAATTGCAACAAGCTATCGTCCCGTCTATCTATTAACCTTGCTATTCAACCCACACGAGTCGATAAGCGTACTTAAGTATTCGATGATTAATGCATGACCTATTATTCATTGTCGGACTTAATATGGCTTTACGCAATTATACCTTCTTAAACATCCGCATATCTTTTCATTAACTCTTTTGATACTTATAAAGAGTGGATTTTAATTATTTTATCAACACAATTCATCCAGAATAGATACAAGTAATTTTTTAATAAGCTCTGAGAAAAACAGTAAAAGAATTGATTATAATTGAGAATTAATTGAGAATTTATTTCAATTGAGTTTGATCGATTCAAATATTGGTCAAAATCAAGATTTTTCAATCCTAAACTATTATAAACATATTAGTGACATTTAATTTTTGATGTAGGAGATTTTGAATTCGTAAATTGATAAATTTTGTTACTATCAAAAAATATAAAAATATATTTTAGCGTGTTTATAAGAATGTAAACTGATTGAAAGTAATAGATTGAAAGTAATTAAAATTACTTGTCTTAAGAGAATCCTGAAGTCGTCTGTTTATAATTATAAATCCTTTTCCAGGATTAAAGTATACATAAGAAGGGAGGATGCAGCATCGACTTTATTTCGAAAAAGAAAATTAATTATAAAATTATATTTCTATATTCACATGCTCTTAGGATAATATGGCGTTTAGAGCTATCAATTTTCGCTTCATATAAAAGTTCAACAGTTCTTACACAGTTCTTAAATAAATGTATTGCACCCTGCAAACTGTGTAACAAAATGTTAATGAATCATTAAAATTGAATTCAGAAGTCTAATATAAAAGATATTTCTAATTAACTATTTTTATACACGTATGCGTCTGGTATCGCTATAACAGACGAAAAAACAGCAATAGATTAGTTCCCAAATAATATCAGAGAGGTGCCATACAGCACACATAATTTTAGGATACTCGAAAAAGATATTTCCTAAACAAAATATAAAACTCTAACGGTAAAACAGATGACTCCAGGATCTCCTTAAGTGCGTCAATAGAAATTAAATACTAACCTGTGTATCCGGTGCTGCATATACACACATATTCGTGCAATGATTTGAGATTGCATGTGGCGCCATTGAGGCAGGGCGAGGAGTCGCAGGCATTCTCGATGGGGATTTCGCACAAGCTGGCAGTAAAGCCTACAGGACAAGAACACGCGAAGGACGGAGTGCCGCCCCCGATGCTCTCGCGCACTCTGCACGAGCCGCCGTTCTGGCAGCGCGACCCTGTATAGCACGGATTCATATGTTGGCAGTATTCTCCCACGTATTTTGACGTGCAACTGAAACAGAATTACATCATGGTGAATTCCAGAAATGGTGATTTACGATATTTGGTTCTTTATTGCAAACATTGACAGATATTTTGAACGGTGGATTGATAATAATTAAATAATTAAATAATATTTCTCTGTTTCTCATAATTTCGTGTAACTTTTCGCATATAAATCATAATATCACATTGAATGTCATTTCAATAAAAAAAAAACTGTTATTTAAAGATTTGTGTGTACTTGGAATTATTTACTTCAACGAGTGAAAAGAGCTCTGAAACAATATATTAAAAATGTAATAAAAGTTTTATTTTTATTGTTAATAATAATAATAATGTTTCACTCTAAATTCTCTAGAAACAAAGAAACGGAAGGCGGAAAAGAAAGAAAGCAGCATCTCGATCAATTCGGGTGGTTTCGTGGGGAACCATAATGCCTTCTCGCGAAAAGATACGACCTCTCGCGTTGCGGTTGAGACTTCCACGAAAGGCCCAGAAAGACGAAGAGCCTTTGCGGCTGGCCCGTTACACGTATCATTAGATTCACCAAGTAAGTATCTAAACTTGACGCGCTGCACTTCTTATAATCCCTACGGAATGTATCGCGTGAAACGGCAAGAGAAAGAGAACAAAGTCCTTTCGTGATCTCGCTTCACCGAGAAACCCACAATGCGTTTCTCGAATTGCCTACACCTGTATTTTGAAATCGAATTTATTCGTGTCTTCTGTATTGAGCGTGTCTTCTATATTATTCGTGTCCCTTCAGCCTTTATTAGGAATTTGCAAATTATTTGCACGCGTTCGATCTCATATTCGATCGCCTCGATGTCTACCGATTCAAAAGCTTCGCAGAATAGCCATAGAGTAACAAATTAGATGCGCAAATACCGTTTCAACTGGAGGTCAACGATTGCGTTTTCTCAATAAGGAAATTGTATTGCCGTGTTCTGTCAGGTTTCGCAAAAAACGATGTTCTAACGGACCCTAATGAACGCTGGACGAGACACTTGATATTGCAAGCTATCGATCGCCGCTTTTACAAGAAAGTCCCATCGATATGCGAAAGAACCTAGGAGAGCAAGTACCCTTAAGGTAACCTGTGTCTCTTTGGAGCATAAAGAGACACAGGTTTTGAACATTTTTCTCACAACTACGCGTCCTTTACGGCAATCTCACGCAAAACACATATCTTTGCTGTATCTTGAAAGAACCTTTGTTATTTCTTTACGGCACGAAACAAATTGGCGCGTATATGAAATGAGTTCACCCATTTACTTTCGAGTTTAAGTTACAATACTGTACATAATATACTTTTACCGCTCAATTCGCATACATATATATTTCGATTATATTAATGTAATATAATAATTTAATATTATCTCCAATTAAAATAAAGAAAAATAGCGACAAAAGTGAATAAAAACATGGCGTTAACGCGGTTTCTCGCTATCGCTATTTACCATGATAAGCCGATTGAGATGTTGCGCGAACAAGATTGTAATTATCGACAAATATTCCAGCATACGTACATTTTACTCTTAAATAATTTTACAAATACGTAGATAAGTATTGCTCTTGTAAGCACGTAGATAAGTGCAAATATCCGAGGGACCGAGAATACATTTGTATTATGCAAACTATCAATTCTTTTACGTTTCTCGTTTTATGTTTCTTTCTGCAAGGAAATTGTCGCAAATCCGAGGCCGTTGTATTAATTTAATATTTTAATAGTTCGTCTTTTCCATTTCGCAACCACGAACCGGATTCATGAAAGAGTCGTAAATTACACGAGCGCCAGTGTTTAGGAAACGTGGCAAGCATCGAACAGGAGCGAAAGAGCAAACGAGCGAGCACGATTCGACGATAAGATTGTCGCGCGCAACTGGCAAGGCGTGCAAGACTTTCGCACGTTTATGAACGCATATCAAAACGTTTCGCCGAGAGGCGGCTCACCACGCTGCTCGCTAATTACGACAGTCATCAATTATAGAGTTATTTAAGCGCCACTGCGATCAACGCTTCGAGCAAGCACAATTAACCATACACAAAGGGAAACATATATATCACGCGCGTGCGGAAAAATATATAACACATATGTATACAATCGTATACGTGATTAGAAAAATAATATTTATGCATATATAAAAAATTATTTCAAAAGATACAAGATAATTAATGTATACAAAATATTATTTATATAACTTTAATTTTATTTTTATATGTAATAGTTTTTTGGATATATATTCAATGCAAATAATTCTATATATTTTAAATATTTTTTATATACATTACGCAAAAATCACTAATTATTGCATCATAGTGATAAAAATAACGGCATTGATAATAATAAAAAATATTACAATATTCAAAATATTCTTTACATTATTTTCATTTTATAGCATATATATATACATATAAATTTATAATTATATACCTATAAATATAATAACACAATTAAAGAGAGAGAGAGAGAGAGAGAGAGAGAGAGAGAGAGAAAATATAATATCACAATAATAAAAATCGAGGATCTGTATTGTGAATGGTAATATATGAGAATATGGCTATTAATTATCACGTATTACAACGTGCTCTATTAAGCAATCTACTTTTTGAGTTGAATAGACAGCCTCTAACAGTACTAACTAATAACTCAAACACACCTTTAAAATCTCTGGAATATATGCCTCATATTTCGTCAGTAAATATAATATAGAGCTTATTGGGGTGTATTCTAATTAAACGAGAAAACACGGAACTCGGTCAATAATGATACGTAGTAAAGTCGGCAAATAAAATTTTTAAAAACGCTAATCTTTATTTTAATATCTTTCTTCCTAATGTTTACATTGTCACTTTAAATAAGAAAAAGATGTAATTATTTTACCATTGAATAAAATTCGAATTTTAAAACATATCGAGATGTTTAGTGCAAGCGGAAGTAAGGGTATCTTACATCAATTTTAACCTCGTTTCGCATAATAAAGATTATTGAAATAGTCGTACATTGTACGATCGAGAACGTGGGAGTGCAAAGTTCCTCCTGGTTCCATGCCAATTTCCGCGGTCTCTTCCTAGTCCGCGAACCAAGTTCTTAATTCGTTCACACGATAAATTAGTAGATGCTGTACTCGAGCTAGTGCAGATTATATTAAAAATATAATTCTCTATTTTTAATATTTAATAACATCATCGAAACGTTTCGATCAATTAGAAACATATCCAAGTTTTTCACAAAAGTGTATTCAGTTGCATCATTTACCATTAAACTGTTTTGATATGAGAGAATTTCTACGAAAAGTACAAAATTTCCCTAATTAGTCGAGTCAGAAAGTTATTCAGACCTATAAAGAACGGCAATTATCCGGAGATATAAAATTAATAAAGTCGAATCGCCAGATTATTGCGTGTAGTCGCGGCATTCTGCGAGAAAGTCATGGCACGTCCGCGTGAAAGATCGATAGTCAAGATTTCTGCAAAGTTATCGCGCTGTATTATGCGGAAATTAACGGATCGCTCACCGAAATTGCATCGTAAATCCGAGAGGCATTCCCCTATTTTTGTCTATCTTTTTGCCAAATGTGATGAATGATCATGTGCGTTCTCGCAACTTTGCTATCTAAGAAAACATTTCGTGTTACATTGCGCGCAACATTTTGGTAATAAATCTTTAACTTAAAAGCTTAATTAATAAGTAAACGTGATATCAAACACGGCACATATAGCAAAGAAATAAAAAAAGCTGCCATTAATTTAAAACAAAAAATTCGAGAAAATCTCGAATAAAAATAATCAACATTACTCGATTTTTAAAAATATATGTTAAATAAATTGAAACATAGATAAATAATAATTTGTTTAAAAAAGAATATTATATAAAATATTTATCTTAAAATTATCGTTTCAAAGAAAGGATTCCACACGATGAGAAAATATTTTTGGTCAAATTGTCTGAATTTATAATATGATGTAGTTTTTGTGTCTCCGATCAAAATACTCAATGGGCACAAAACTTTTCAATGGACAGTTTTTAAGTTACATTTGAAAGTCTTTGTCACAAGGTCAGTTTGCTGCATACTTGCTTATCATGAGTTGATCATGCATTACCTGCCTGTGTATGCATCAATCTTTGTAGACGTCCATGTATATTTGTGCGTATATGCTACTTTTATTTATTAATGGAAAATGGAAACTTTCATTTATTAATGGAAATGGATACGCTTATAAGGCTGCCCCACTCCAGAGGCGCCAGCTCTACGGTAATGATATTCGCGGCGTTCAGCCGCTAGTCGACAGCTAGAGTGAGACGGCCAGCCGCACCAAGTGCATTAATAAAAGTAGCAAAATAGAAGTAGCATACATGTACAAACATTTGCACAAGCGTAAAGACATCTACGTAAAGTCATCCATGCGTACAAAAATATACACACACAGGTAGGTATGCACGACAAACTTAGGTAAGCAAGCGTGCAAACGAATCTTTTGAAGACTTTCAAATGCTTATAACTCAAAAACTATCCGTTGGAAAATTTTGCTTCCAAGTTTGAGTCTTTTGAACAGAGAGACACAAAAACTATATTATATCACAAATTCAGACAATTTGATCAAAAACGTTTGTCCATAAGAATCGTGCCGGTTTCATTTTATTTACTGTAAGCGTTCATAAATTAATGTTCTTATCAGAATTCGCAATGTAAAATAATTCCATATGTACGTTTCCTTTTTTTTTAATTTCTTTGAATTTAAATTTTAATATTGTAATCTCCATTTGTGTAAAAATACAACGTAGAGTATTTTTACGCAAATGTACTCTCACACATTATAGTTATATATAATACCTTAAGCAAGAAATAAAAATAAAATGTACATTACTGTCAATCAATACTATATCGACGGCGCTATACATCGGCGCACAAGATTACCAGTTAGAGACCATATTAGAGATCACAACTTTTTCTTCTAAAACATTCGTCATGTGTTCGCGTAAAGAAGAAAGATCGAGATATCGAGCGA